TTCCATCCCAAGCACCATTCTAGTAACCCTTCTCTGATCCCTATCCAACAACTCAATATCTTTCCTAAAGTAATGAGCCCAAGACCGAACACAGTATTCCAAATGTGGCCTAACCAGTGACCTGTACAATGAAATTATAATCTCTTTAGCCTTGTATTCAATATTTCTGGGAACTTAAGCATCCATTAATTTTCAAAATCTTGTGCAATAAAATCTGCTCGAATACATGTACATTTTTAATAAGTGAAACTTTTTAATCAAGAATATCGTGATGTAAATTATTTTTCATTTAAATAAATATTGATAATAAAAAAACAGACTGTGTAGCAAATTAAGCATCAATATGCATAGATAAAAGTATATAGAAAAAAATACAACCACAATATTGCTCCATTAAAAGAACGTTGGAAAACATAATGTTTTATTATACAATAGTCATGAAAGATATCTGCTTAGTAGCAATAACTGACTGCTCTTTAATATATTATTTCATTCCAAATCGATACTATTAAAATGGGCAGGAGGTCAGAATAATCATAATATTTATAATCCAAATTTTATTCAGTGTCAGGGTTTTCAATATGAGTGGGCAGAGGATTGTTCTACAGTAGGTGTCTGTAACTTGTTGGCGGTAAATGTTAACAATAAATGGACAACACACAATCCACTGTTTTAAAATAATATATTCAAAACAAGTCAAATCTATGTACACAAATTCTTTACCCTATAGGATATCACATTTGTATTTCAAACTCTAAATACTTCTCTTTTCTTGTCAAAAGTCCACAAAGGCTGATTAAATTATTTTAGAATACAATTGACAAGAACTATTTTTCTTTATCTTCTTTTCTCACAATACAAATCAGTGAATAATTCATTTATGTTACTCTGTGGGTTATCACAGTCCTATCCTGAATTTTAAATAATTGTCTCTTTTTTTGTCAAAGTCCACACAGACGGGTTCAATTACTTTAGAACACTTTGACAAGACACATTATTCTCCTTATCTCTGTTAAACTGTGAAACTCACTTTAAAATATCACCGTTACGGTTAATCACTCACACGCCGGCTAACTTGACTTTTGCTTTCGCTAACTAATTTTCTAACTAAACTGCATTTTTTTCTTCATTTTACTTTACTTCACTTCACTTGCGCTGGTTTGGTTGTCTATATTTATAGATTACCCAACTGATGCCTCCAGCTTTCTCTAAACTACGCGAGCGACGCTGTAAGGTAACCGCAAAAATATCGAAGATTAGTAAAGCCTAAACAAAAATGTAATTGCAAACACAATGTACGACTCGCACAGAGTTACCTAACCAAACTTATCATAACTATCGCCTTTAAAATGATTACTTTTAACACTCTTATTATGAAAAACTAAGCAATAATTAAACAGTAATTCACAAGCCACAAATTAAATTAAAACTAACGCCTAAACTAAACAATCTTGTATATCCAACATTCAGTATAATTGGTTTGTCCCCAAATAATAATTTTCGGAGTTCTTTTAAAACTGGTTTTTTTCCATATATATATGCATATATATATATATATAGATAGATAGATAGGTACTGTATTTCTTTTTTCCAAGTTAAGTGGACGTAGCGCTTGAGATAAGCTCAATCGATTGATCTTTACAGTGGGCTATACTCGTCCTGTCGAACCTTGTATTTTAGCACTGTAAGTCCAATAATTTACCGCTGAACTACCGTTGTTTCTGATATTTGTACAAATCTACTCACGAACTATCTGCACTAGTTGTCCCTAAATTTGAACTGATAGACTAGAGGAAGCACAGCTAGTCAACAACACTCACCACCAACTCTTGGGCCGCTAATGTAATCAAACAATGGAATTTGACTGTTACTATTATAGCGCAACCACAGTCCTAAAATGCCGAGTGCGATTTTATTGCAAA